TAAAGCAGATGGACAACAAAGTGAATTAAGACAGAAGCGTCTTGATTCCAAATTTGTACCTGAATTTTACTTTTGCAGTTGATATTTTAGATGGCTTACAGTAAAGGGTTTTTGCTGTTGCGCTACATTGTAATTGCACTTGTTTGAATCTCTACTCGGAGCTTGTGTTCCTCAGAGGTTTACTGTTTTGGTTTTTTCGGAGCAGGTGGTTAAGAGAGCTGTAGCAAGCCAGCCTGACATGCCGGAGGCAGCTGAGCGAGCTGAGAAGTTCCGTCAGAAATACCGACACAAGCTCCAGACCCTCCGCCACCAGCCTTTGTAAGGACTATCTCTACATCTGCGTGGCAGTGTCTATCTGTTTGAGCCTGTGGTTGCTTTCAAATGACTAAACCTCAACTCTTTTCTTCATTTTCTGCATTAGTTCTGTGTCTTCATACCTGCTGTTTTGTACATGTAGGCTTTGTTGAAATTCGACAAAACACGCCAGATTTTCCAAATCCAGTTTCATGTTCCATTAGAGCTTTTAATACAACAATACAACCACTTTCAATATAAATAAAAACAGGAGCATAACAGGGACAAGTACCATACGTCTGCCGCGCCAGCCCCGTTGTGTCTATGTGTTTCTCTTTGGCTAATGTAGAGTGCTTCTTTTCTCACCTAGTGCTTATGGATCCCTCACTGTCAGAAGTCTGTTAGACACAAGGGAACACTGTTTAAACGAGTTCAACTTTCCTGATCCATACTCTAAGGTCTGAGTGAAATCTATCAACCTATTTTATTCTCTTTGTGTGCTACCGCAGTTGGTTTGTCCTCATTGCTCTGTTTTAATGTGTTATCATGGTGTTATACACAGCTTCCGCCTGTTAAATTTAGGCAATACATGGGTTTAAACATGGTCTCATTTTGTTTGTTTTGTGTTTTTTGTAATTGTGTGTATACATATATATATGTTTTTTATGTTTATGATCAATAGCCAGTCTGTCTTACATCCTGTGTCGGCTGGATGATGTATCACGTTTCTGCTTGTGTTGCAGATTAAACAGAATGAGAACGACATTGCTCTCAGGTACTACGGGAAGGCAGTGAAGTCCCTGGAGGAGTTGAGCTGGGAGGAGAGACAGTTTGCCCTGGTCAGGGGCGTCCTGGCTGGGAATGTGTTTGACTGGGGTGTTTTACTCTTTTCAGAGTGAGTGGAGTTAAAAGCTGGTGGATTGGTTTCTCTGTTCTGGCTGACTGGGTAGTGGGAAAGCCTCTGAATGCTTGTCTTGTACTTTTATGTTGCTACAGCTTTAAACAAGGAGTTTTAACACTGCTTTGGTAGTATATTTGGCATTGTTTTGAGTCAGTAAACCTGTTGACCATATTGTTTTACTGTGTCCAGACATGATATTAGGGCTGTTTTTTTTTTTATAGCAGACAGCACCTTAGTAGTCCAGGCTACAGTAACTGGTAAATTCTGGCACTTTAGTCTTGATGTCAAAGTTTGGACAGTGCCTTTTTTGTCTATGCTGTGACTGACTCAGATATGTACCGGCTCTAATTGCTCTCTTGTATTTTTTGTCTTGATATCATTCAGTGTCCTGGAATCTGATCCCGAGTTTGGGTTTGAGGAGGCTAAACGACAGTTGGAAGGTATCAGAGTGTTTGTCTTTGCCACCATGTCTACGCAGGACATGTAGTGTGAGCAGCAGTGTCGGTTCTCCATCTGTGTCTACATAGGGTACATACAAGCACAGTACTGAGTGTAGGTCATCTGTGTTTTGACAGTGCTCAGAGCCCCCCCCACACACACACAATGGAAGAAAATAGACTTGAAACCTAAAAACATGCTACGGGTTGTGTTTACATGTATGTGTGTAGTGCAAGCAAAGCACAACAGTTTGAAGCATTCTGTGTAGATACCCCTCCATAAGATTATTCCTTTGCAAGCAAACCTTTTAACCTCTGTTGAGTTATTTGACAGACATCAGATCTGCTTCTGTTCATTTACATTTTTTTAACAACAATAACTAAAATTGTGAAAGGGAAGGACGTTTAGACTTATTCTTCTGCTGAGACTAATTTTGTGCTTCTTCTCCCCTCTCAGAGCGGCCATGGCTTATTGATTCATATGACCAGTGGCTGGAGAGACTAAAGGTCAGGCGCTTTCTCTGCTTTTTGTTTTTAAAACCAACTTATCCATTGTAGCATTACAATGGATGTCAAAAGTTTTCTCAGAAGCACAGGACGGAATCATAAGTACAGACACACACTGTTTAGCACAAGTGACCCTAGAATAAAACGCATATCCCAGACCAGGCACAACTGTTGATTAATCACAAAGCGAAAACACAGCTAACAGCTTTGTAGTATGTTTTAGTAATATTTCACATACTTGTGATAGTGTTTCTGTGTTGTGTGCTTTTGATGATTTGTGTTTGAATACATCCTGGTTTTCTCTTGCAGGGGCCTCCTCATAAGTGTGCCTTGTTTTTCGTAGATAATAGCGGAGTAGACATTATTCTAGGGGTGATGCCTTTTGTCAGAGAGCTTCTCTCTCGAGGTACAGAGGTAAGGAATCACAGCGACGTAATTTAAAAAAATATATTAGATAAAATGTTGCTTCAACTCTCTACCATCCATCTTCCTTGAGGTTGTGCTGGCAAGCAACTCTGGTCCGGCTCTGAATGACGTAACGAATGGCGAACTGCAAATACTGACGGAAAGAATTGCCGCTATGGATCCGGTGGTTCAGTGAGTATCAATGAAGATTTTTTTAAATTGGACAGGGCACATGAGAAAAATGAAGCTTAAAATACAAAATACAGAACACAGCTAATGATTGAACAAGCACACAGACAGCGATGTAGACTCAGCTGACTTTTTACATCATCTTAATTTCTTTCCTGAGTAACTTCTAAAATATGATTTTCTATGTTTGACTTACTGAAAAGAAGTGTAATCTGCTGTTATGCAGAGCTGGTCTTTGGGAAGACAGGCTGACACTGGTCCAGAGTGGTTCCAGCTCTCCCTGTCTGGATCTGAGGTTGGTTATCTGGACTTTTTGCTTTTGACATTTTTAAAGAGATTCAACCCGTGAAAACCACTGTACTGTATAATATTTGCTGTGGCTCTGGACTTTATAAAGTCTGACTGGGAATGTTGTCAGGGTTTTCCTGGCTTGGGCTTAGAGACAACAATTTTTATTTATTTTTTTTATTTATGTATTTGTTTTTGCATGTAGTATGCTGCTGAGTTGCATTGGGACTACAGGCTGTCCCCTGCTCCATTGGTTTTGACCACTTGTGGAAGTCCAGTACTAACTTGCAGAACTACAGGCCTAATCATTTGGCTGTTTAAGCCAGAAAGGTTACAGTATCACACCAATAAATCTTTTGCTTTCTTTAGGCAGTATCTGGCTTGTTCCCCTTGAGAAATGGTGGCCTGAAGCTAACTTAGACAAACTTGTCATAGGCTTCTCAGAACAGAGATGTAAATGTTAAATGAAGCAAGAACACTGCAGATTAAAGTAATAACATGAACATGCAGTTGATATTGTAGGAAATTACACTTTACCTCTTTCATAGATGGACATTTATGCTTTAAAAAGCCAGAATGTAGATGTGATGTGCTTAGTTGTAGTCATTTTAGTGCAGCGAAAATATGAATACAATTGTCTGCCTCTGCCGTCTCCCAGTCGTCTGGACAAGGTGCTGGCGACGGTGGTGCGGGAGCGTCAAACCGACCTGGTGATCATTGAGGGCATGGGCCGAGCCATACACACCAATTACTACGCGATGCTCAGCTGTGAGAGCCTCAAAATGGCCGTCATCAAGAACTCATGGCTGGCTGACCGGCTGGGAGGGAAGCTGTTCAGTGTGGTCTTCAAGTACGAGGTACCGGCGGGAGAAACTAGTCAGTTCTCTGCAGCGCTGACGCCCTCATGAGTGGGACAGAGCTCATGTTTCAGCAGG